ATAAGTTTTAGGTCCAAAATTCTTACCTCAATGAAACCCCCTTGAAATCTTTCTTCAAATCTCCCAAAAAGCTCCAAAAGTTGACTTAGAAATAGTGGAATAGCTCAAAAATCGCGAAGGAAATAATTTATACCTTCTGATGCAGGCATTTCTCATCTGCGGCCCTTTTACCGCTTCTACGGTACCGCTTCTGCGGTCAATGGACCACTTCTGCAGTTTTTTACTTAAGTCCTAAATTCCGCATCTGCGATGTACACGCCGCACCTGTGCTATAGCAGGTGCGCTTCCCCAACCGCTTCTGCGGTTACAGCTTTCCTAGACTCTTTCCGCTTCTGTGACTTCTTCTCCGCATTTGCGGGGGTCACATCTGCGGCCTTCCAACCACAGATGCGGTTTTGACAACAAACTTCAACTTCAGCTGCCATCTCAAATTTTTATTCCTTCCGTCAACCATCTGAAATCACCCTGAGGCCCCTGGGACCTCAACCAAAAGCACAAACACATCATAAACCACCATCCAAACTTATACCAATCTTCAAGACACCTAAAACATCATCGAATAAACCAAAACACATCAGATTCAAGCCTAAGATTCTAAAATCTTCCGAATGCTTTTGATCAAAACCCCAACCAAACCACGTCCGAATGACCAGAAATTTTGCACACACATCCCAAATGACACGACAGAGCTACTGCAACTCTCGAAATTCCATTCCGACCCCTATATCAAAATCTCGCCTATCAACCGAAAAACGCCAAAAATCCAATTTTGCCAATTCAAGCCTAAATCTACTTCGGACCTCCAAAATACATTCCAATCACGCTCCTAAGTTCCAAATCACCTCCCAAAGCTATCCGAACCATCAGAATTCACATCCGAGCCCTCTATCACATAAGTCAACATTTGGTTGACTTTTCTAACTTAAGCTTCCTCAAAAGAGACTAAGTGTCTCAAACCTTACCAAATCCTTTTCGAACCCGAGTCAACCAACCCGATCACATATAGAACCGATAAACAAAGTAATAGGAAGCATAAATGGGGGGAAACGGAGTGGTAACTCATGAGGCGACTTGCCAGGTCGTCACATAAGGCCTCGGAACACAGGATTTGTTTCTAAAACAAGTGATGATCTTTCGGGTCATTACAATTTAATCCAATAAACTGCTTAAAACCCTCATCTAAAAGACCTCAAAACACCCAAAAATAACGTGATTCACTGCATAGTAGTGAGTGTTTTTTGCCAAGTCGTTTCCGATGGACCTACCAAATTTCAGGTTAATTGGAGTTTGTCAAAAACATGACCTCCAAATCTATAACCAAGTTCGGAGAATAACCATTTTAGGCATTGTCATGGATTAAAATAAATATGATCACACTTTCTATTATCCTTATAATTATTCCATGAGCACATAACATTGATTATATCTTTCCTTTTGTGTAAGGTATATAAAACCGCCTCTTACATCCAATTGTCCTCTCGTTTTATACACATGAGAATTCAAGATATTAATTTTCATCATAGTTGGTGAAAACCTCAATGTCTTTTCTCATGAATTAGTTTAATGTCACTAGTATCAAGAGGTAAACCTCTTTTGTGTAGATAAAAACTCTACTACTAGCGTAAACTTATCAAGGACAATTAATTTTCACATGGTACATTGAGCATTTATTCATGAGTCAAATAAATAGACTATTTTAGTAGATTTTATTTATTAATCATAACTCTCAATCTATGTACTCACGTAATCACACATGTATAAAACTTTAAGAATTTTCAATGATTCTCAATAAATAAACTACTTTGATGGTACTTATTTATTAATCATACATTCTTGATTATTAGCCATTTTAATCTTTTCTTTGTTGAATAATTATATGAGCACTTTATTTGTATCCTTTTCTTTCTCACACTGTACAAAAGCAGAAACCTAAAGTTTCGTAACAAATGATCATTTTTTGATTTTAAAAATCTTAATCACAAGAAAAGGCATTTTGAAATTACCGAAAACAATAGGTTGATACCCACTAGGCAATTTTACCAATCAGCCGCCACCCAGAAACCTTAACATTGTTTTCATTATTCTTGGTTTTCAACATTCTACAGCCGCCACAAAAAATCAATCAAAAGCCTTTAAGGATTAATCACTTAAACAAAACTAACTTGGCAAATTACTTCTCTGTCAATGGGAATCCGTAGCTTGCCCTTTTTTTTTGTTTTATCTTGATCCAACCAAATAAAAGGCAACAGTAGCCTCTTTCTAGAAATTGTCTATGGAATCACAGAGAATCATGAAGTACCAAATATTGGCTGTAATCGTAATTAAAAGGGACGACGGCAACAATTTATATGCGTCGAACATAAAAATTTCCCTAACACAACTACGATCAGAATAATTTGCAATATTTCACCGAGTATGAAAACTTTAGACGGCAAATTGATTTTATTCCTCAACAAATCAATCACGACTCATGTATATAATGGAACATACATAGATATCGTCCACGTTATCTAATTAGACGCAAGTAGGCTCTGATATCAATTGATGGAAAGCAGATATGGACAACGGAATCAAACAGCCAGGATGTAATATAGACAATACATAATTACAAATTTTAATCGAACATAAAATCAATACTTATCTCTTGAAGCATGACCGCGATCGCGAGAAGCCTCCGATGTGATGACCCGAAAGGTCATCACTTATTTTAGAAACAAATTTAGTGTTCTGAGGCCTTAAACCCTCCTTTTTACCTCACCTCAATTTGCGTGCGTGATCCGGACGTATATCCGGAAAGCTTTTATGTGAAAATATAAGAAATAGAAATTTCTAGAGTTAAAATTTGATTATGGTTGACTTTGGTCAACATTTTGAGCAAACGGACCCAGATTTGTGTTCCGACGATCCTGGGAGGTCCGCAGTAAAATATGAGACTTGGGTATATGCCCAGAAATGAATTCTGAGGTCCCAAGCCTTAGAAATTAATTTTTGAAAGAAATTGTTTTGCTCAATTATTTATGAAATAAAGAAAAGAAATAATATTTGAAACTATTGGTATCGGACCCGTATTTTGGTTCCGGAGCTCGGTACAAATTTGTTAAAATATTTAAATGATAACTGTGAAATTTGGTGAAAAATGAAGTTTATTTTATCAGATTTGGACCTCCGGTTGAAGAGTAGTAAACTTTAAGTGTTCTTGATGAAAATGATGAGTTTTGTGGTTTAATTCATAGTTTTACATGTTATTTTCATGATTTGATTGCACAAGCAAGTCCGTATGATATTTTTGGGTTAGTGTACATGTTTGATTTGGAGCCCGGAGGGCTCGGGTGAGTTTTGAATAAGTCTCAGAGTGAAAATTGGACCTACGAAGTTGCAGGTTTTTAGCTGGTATGTTGCAGGTCTGTAGGCCTGACTCGCAAATGCGAGATCGCAAATGCGGATAACCCATCGCAAATGTGAGAGAAGGCTTGGGCAGGGCTGATCACAAATGCGAAGAGGCCCAGAAATCCCTCTTGGACGCAAATGCGACTCCTCCGTCGCAAATGCGAGTTCGCAATTGTAAGCACGTAATTTTTGACCTGCGCAAATTTTAAATTTAGTTTTAGTATTTTAATATTTTTAAAATATTTACTTGACTTTATTTTAATATAATTTTAATCTTTTTACTTTTAGTCCTAAGACATAAAAAAACATAAAATAGTTTTATTTATCGTATTTATCGCTTTTCTATATTTTTATCTTTAGTTTAAGATCAATTAGTATATTTTTATTCATGGTATCTTAATTTTATCATGATTTTAGCCTATTTTCTTTACTTTTTACTTTATTGTTATAACATTTAAAAATACAAAAAAAGTAGTTTCATTTTAAAATTTTGTTTATTTACTTAACTAAGTTTAATTAATATTTTGGTAGGATTTTTGAGTTTGTCTTTCTCCAACAAGAAAATTTGTAGGCCCAAATTGTTATGACTCTATTGTGGTTTATTGCGCTTCATATGTTATTATCACCATTTTTCCCTTGCCAGGATGTTGTTTGATATTATTGTTCCTTTGTCGGGATGTTTGTTTGATATTATTGTTCCCTTGCCGGGATGTTTGTTTTGATAGTATTGTTCCCTTGTCGGGATGTTGTTGAAATATCATTGTTCC